CAGTTTGCGGCTCCAGCAGTCGCTGGCGCCCCCACTGATAGTCAGGGATCGGAGGAGTAGGATTTGCAGGGACCTCAGAGGCTGTCTGTCTGGTCCAGCCATCTCGTTTTACAAATGAGGACGCGTTGGTGGGGTCCAGTGATCCGCCCGAGGTCATGTGGGTCCTGGGCATCAGAAGTGGAATTGAAGCCCAGCTTCTCTGACCATAGCCAGTGCCATGCCATGCTGCCTCAGATATTCTTATTCAGCTGGAAACCGTTCCTGAAGGGCTCCACTAAATCAGGTATTGTTCCTGAAGCTCGAGCTGCTGGGGCCACCCATTGGGTGATCCTTAAGCCATTAGACATGAAGTCCTATCACCCCATCATTCCAATTTGACTTTGGGGACTGACTTATTCAGCATTCTTCCTTTCCTAAGGCCTCATTAAATTAATGATACTCAAAACAAACCCTTTTCCTACTGCCTTTATCTAAACCCTCAGTCCTTCCTTGATTAATTCCACCCTCTGCCCTGTCCAGTAGGATGCACTGTAGATTTCTTTTTTATTTTCATCCGATTCCCTTTAATTCTGTCTCGATCTTTCAGTCCTATTTTGTGGTATAAGCTGAAAGCTGGTTTTCTCTTAGGCCAGTATATCTCTCGCCACCCACAGCCGTGCTTACTCTATGACCAGGAAGAAGGGAGTGTTTGGCGTATTCTTTGCTTCACAGTATCACTTCCGAGCCCTTATCCTGCTGTTACCCTTCAGTAATTGTTCCTTTTTTGCAGTTCCCATACTGTGATCATTTCAGTTTCTCCTGTTCCTTGTTGCTGTAATCCACCAACTTCTAGAAGATATTTTCCAAGGACTTCATCATTTAGCTTATGTTCTTTTTTCTTGTCCTGGGCCTTTTGCCACTATTTTCAGTGATGACTTCTAGCATTCTGGATTCTAATCTTTCTCATTTGGCTTCCTTAACTCATATGACTAGAATCACCGCTATACTTCAGGCGATTCCTATGTTCATACCTTTGTCCTTACTGTTTCTCAAATCTTAAATTCTGAAATCCAACCCCCCTCCCATCCATAATCTTTGGTTCTTCTGGTCTCCCATGCTCATTCTTCTTCAAACCACTCTTTTCTTACATCATGATTTCTGGTCTTTATCTCTGTTTTCGTTCTCCTCCAATCCTTTTCTGGGTTTGTATCCTTTTCATTTTATTGATGTCCAGTTTATCACCTCATTGTTATTTTTTCTTCCACCTTTGAATCCCTTTGCCTTCTGGTAGATTTTACTAAAGTTTATTGACATGAATTGGATCAATACTCCATAGTGAAACAAAACGGTGGCCAGTAAAATTTCCTGACCTCTTTGTGATGTCTGTACATCACCAAATCATACCTATAATAATGTAATTTAATTATTTAAGAATAGTTAGACAAGGTAAAAGCTAATATTATACACAGCGGGGAAGCACGAGAAGCATTCTCATTAAAAATAGCTGTTAAAAGGAGATATGCATTGTTGCCACTCATTTGTCATGTTAAAAAGATGTTTTTATAAATCTTTGCAAATAGACATGAAAAAGAAACTTCTCAATGCTTAAAAAATGAAAGTTAGAGAAAGAAACAATTTGTTTGGAGGAACAAAAATCCTCAAATCTCAAAGGAAATAATTGGGGTGGGGGAAAGAGCCCATAAAAATTTTGTTGTTGTTATTTAGTTGTTTCAGTCATGTCCGACTCTTCATGACCCCATTTGAGGTTTTCTTGGCAAGGATACTGGAATGGTTTCACATTTCCTTCTGCAAACATAAGAATTACTAGATTTTAAAGCAATAATCATCAAAACTGTTTTGTACTGTTTACAAAGAGAAGGGGAACTATCACTAGAACAGTGTAGTTAACAAGATCTGGATGTAATTGAAAATAATACCTAAGTATTTAATAAACCTAGGAGTGTAAGTGGGGGAAGGATTTTTATTGGATAGCAGCTAATGGAAAACTCAAAGCACTTTGGAGGAATATATATTTAGGCCAGCAGGCATTTTATGTGCCGCAATAAACTCCAAACCCATATGTGACCTAACCATAAAAGATCACCTCATTAAAAAAGGGTTTAGAAAAGATAAATTGCAGTAACCAGTCTTGAATCTTGTGACAGGATAAAAGACGATATTCTCTGCTTTTCTCAGGGGATGTTTGTTTGTTTCTGGACTACAAGAGCATGTGTGACATGTGCTATCAGGAGTATTGTTAAGGTGTTTTGGGTTTTGTTTTTTTTTAACAGTTTTATTTCTTTGTTATAAAAGAGGATTTAATGTCAGGGATAGTGTTTTAGAAAGCAAAAGTTTGAAAACTTTTAAAAAATGAAAAGAATAGCATAAATAATGGAAAAATAAGTAGAACTATTTTTGTAGATGACATGATTGCCTATCTTGAAAACAAGATAGTTTACAAAAATATGAATGAAGGTAATACATTATTTTAATAGAATAACTGAATAAACCCACAAAAATAATTTCCATTTCTATATACCTTCACTAATAAGAGAAATTGATTAAGAAATCTATATAATTAGTAAATGTTTCAGTTATTAGGTCATATACTTAGCAAGATTGAGACTTATTGAAAAACAATCTCAAAAGTATTGTTTATAGAAATCAAGGAAAAACTGAATAAAGGGATTATGCTGCTAATATTTGGGCTGAATACACATAGTAAATATTTGCATAGCTTACTTACAAATGTCATGTAGTACCTATCAAAGTAATATATTATATCAAAGAATTAGCTAGAGTAACAGTATTCATACTGAAAATTGTTAAGAATACCAATAACTCTGAAGAACTCCAGTGTTGAGGCACTAGTACTATCAGATGCCCAAAGGTATTATAATAATGTCAAATCTCTCTAGTACTAGGAAAGTAATAGAAAAGTAGATGGGATATAAAAGATGTAATAATGAAGATTAAATATCAATATTTAATAAAGCTATATTTAAAAAAAAATACAAAACACTAGGGAATGGAATTGCATTGAGTAAAAGTCCTGGGAAATTGTAAAGTTAAATGGCAAAGAATAGTTTTAGGGCCATTAGTCACACCATAAGCCACAAGGAAGTTGATTTGGATTATTGGCTTAAGTAATTTTTATAAAGGTATTAAAAAACTGGAGAAATTGTTAAATATCTCAATCTTGGCAAGACTTCTTTACCACTTAAATAAAAGCATCATTGGAATTGATACTTGGCAATACAAAGATGTAGAAATTTTGTGCACAGAAAATTCTAAAGTTAATAAAAAAGAAACTAATTTGAGGGGAAAAGATTGACTCAGGTATATCAGATAAAAAAAGATGTGACATCTAGAACCTTCAGGGAATGGATACATAGGTGTAAGACCAACAATATATACTTCCTAGCATCAAGACATTACCAGGCAATTTATGAAGGAGGAAATGCAAACTATTAATAATAGAAAGATGCTCATTCCTTAATAAATGAATGGAAATAAAACTTTAAAATATACTTTGTATCCATAGAATGGCAAAAATAGTTTAAAAATTATAAATTTCCATATTGGGGGCTATCAGAATAGAATAACTTGAATATATTATTGTTGGGTCTGCAAGTATTTTGGAGAAAACATGGCAGTGTCTAATGAAAATTAATAAAATGGATTCTGCCATTTGATTCTGTGATTCCTTTGCTAATACCATATCCCCCAAACACCATTTAATAAGTAATAAAGGACCCACCTGAATGTAATTATTTCTAATTGCTTAATTAAAAAACTATTGAGAACCTGACAAATCAACACTTGATTATTTCCATTTTCAGAGCAGAAAAGAAAGTGTATTTATAAACATGAATGCTAAGTATAGCTTTTTAAAAAGTGTATAACAAATTCAACACAGTAATTTCAAAGCTATCCTCAATCTTTGAACTTCTTCCTTCTCTGAACTTTCAAAATATTTCTTTGATGCTCTTTTTTTTACCCTTACATCACTTTTCAGCTCCCTCCTCCCTGCCCTTGCCCAAACCATCCCTTGTCAAAAAATAAAAAATAAAAATTAGTAAATAGGTACAGACAGGCAAAATCCACACATTGTGTGAAAATCAGTTACTCATATGGTACCTTTGGTCTGTTACTTGTTTGTAAGGTAGTGGGAAGAATGCTTCATCATTATGACTGATCACGGCATTAAGGAACATGGTTAAGTCTTTCCAATAACTACCTGGAAACAAAAATAAATAGAAACCAATTGGAAAGCACTGATTTGTCTGATGGCAGGAGACTGAATGTTTTGGTCCAGACTTATGATTTTCCAATATGGGAGCTTCTACCAATGGAGCTTGGTAACTCAGCTGTTACTTTATCATCTTGAAAGAGTTGCCTGGAGTACTTGAAGCGTTAATTGGCTATGCTGATAGATGTGAGAGGTTAAGCGTAACTCCTGCCATCTTTGATTGGCTGTCTGTCTATCCACTATGCAGTCCCACTCTTCATACAGTATAGTGGTGCTATCAAAACATAAATATGGAGTATATGAGGAAATATGGAAAGACTAAGGTCATGTGCAGTGCAGTTAGAACTGGAGAGAGCCAGCTGCATTTTGAAATGGAGAGAAAAGGAATGCACTTTCATTAGGCCTAGAAAGGGAGACACAGAACAAAACTATTTTTTTATTTGCTTGCTTGGTAAATAAGGATAAGGTTTTTGGATGAGATTTTGTCTTTTGTTGTGTTGATGTATCTAATTGCTTTTGTTGGTTATGAAATTCACAATTTTTTGAAAAAACATTTTGAGAAATATATTCTTAAAATATATGTTGTAGGCCTTTTATTTAGATGGTTCGAGTTTATAAATTCTAGAATGTATAATATCTCTAACTTTTTTTAATGCCTAGCTCAGAAATTAAATATTCATTAGTAATTGCAGATAGCTGTACAGTATACCATATTGGATCACCTCATTTCCTTATTTATTGACCATTTACAAATAATATTTCATTTCAGCAACAAATTACCCGGCCTTCACAAGAGGAAAAGGTAGAAGAAAAAGTTGAGGAAGATAAAACTGAAAAGACAGAAAAAAAAGAAGAAGAAAAGAAAGATGAAGATGAAAAAGATGAAAAAGAAGAATCTAAGTGAGTTAAAGATTAAATAAAGATATGTGCATCTTTACTTCTACAAAAAAAATTGGATCATTTGAGGTCGTGAGATGTTAAAAGGAAGCATTGCCCCTAGCAAGATGAACCATATTAACTGTTACCTCTTGTGATCAAGGAATAGGAAATTCTACTTAATTTTTGGTTTAATATTTTCCCTAGATAACCTTCTTGGATTAATAAATTTTAGAATTAGAATACTATTAATATGCTTAATGCTAAATGTTATTTATTCTCTTTCATGTGTCAGAAGGCAATGCTGAATTTTTTATGTGCTCTGGTCATTATTTTGATGATTAGTGAAGTGTGAAAGTATGGTTTCATAAAGAGCCAGCAGATGCTTTAGAAGGCTCCTTTCCCTGTGTTGACACAAAGATTTACTACAATACCTTGATGTATGCATGGTTTATCTCATTGTTAATGGTGGTGCACCTTTCACCAGTGCAAATTTTAAGTCATTAATACCTTCTCATGTTGTACAATTCTTGTCCATATGCTGATGTGCACCCTCCATAGAGGGCCTGTCCAAGATGCTAGGAATTTTCCTCAGAACCTTTTATACCATATAGATGCAATGCATGTCTTTCTTTGTTCTTGCTAAGTGATCAGCTCACCTTCATATCCAGTGTTACATATCACATTTTATGCAAGGAAACGAATGATTTGTTGATGCTGTAGGTTACTTTGTCCGTTTCCCTTTAGGTCATTTGCAGTTTGCATTTTCTGAGTTTGTGTTGTTTACTGTCATATAATATCATTTGGAGAATATTAGTGTCAAAAAGTTGTTGTCTTTGGCGGCTAGAAACAGCTGTCAAAGGATCATTAGAAGTATTATCCAGTTTTCCAAAAGCTGTATGGCCCCTTTCTTTACTTCCTGTTTAATTCTGGACCCACCTCATTGTCTGTAGTGCCTCTCCAGCATAGGTATCCTAATAGGCTGACTCCAAGGATGAGCTTTCCATCTCACTGCATGTCATAATTTGGCTGCACGTGCTTGTTGATGTCTTGTGAGTGGCCATGTAGTGTTCCACTCATTACTTGTTGCTGTCAGTAAAATGTCATCTGCAAACAGAAGCATTTAGTGACTAACTTTGCCACCTTTAGGGAATCCCTCTTCATTTGGACTTTGTGCATGACATCTTAGGATTGTGGGATCATAGATTTAAAGGAAGTTTCTCTCTGGTCTAATCCCTTACTGAAGATAGTAAGCAGATGAGCCCAAGATTACACAGGTAGTAATAGAAGAGCTGGAATCGTCTATGACAGTGGGGACCTCCTTTTTGGCCAGCTATCCTTTGGGCGCCATGTTTTATGCTTCCTTTGATATAATCAGGGCATAATTGAACAGAATTATTTCTGTGCTTGCATCTATCAAGAAATTCTGTGTGATCTTAATATATGCATGGGAAACACATTGGAGGCGAGTCTTTGAGCTTACAGTAATATTGCTATGGTTTTATTATCCCATGAAATTTCCTTTGAAATATTTGTGGTATTGGTTTCAAATATATAACTAGCCACAGAGTATTTCTTTTATTATAATGACAATGTTTATTTTTTTAAAGTTTATGATTATTGTTTACTGTTGTTATTAGAGACAATCCTTCTTGAGTGGCATTTTTAGAGTGTTGTCAAGTTGATCTTTGAAGCTAAAATGAGAGCCATTTTGTTACCTTCTTTAGCGTAGTAAACCATAAGCCTTCACTTTGAAGTAACATAATTTGTATATTAAACAGTGCTCTTAAGTTTTAGGCCATAGCCTTCTAGTGCATTTGTCCCACTTTGTTTTTGAAAGTGTGATGATAACATCCTCCCTTTCCAGAGCCCTTCACCCTGCTTATACCTTATTGGAGCCTCAGAACAGCTGTGCATGATTGCTAGGGCAGGGTACAGAGAACTTTTATTCATTGTCAGCTCTGCCATTTTCAAAACATTTCTTTCTAAGCCTCAGTTTCTTCATCTGTCAAAAGAGGAGATTCAACTAGATGGACCTCAGAAATGTCCTGAAGCTTTGAATCGATGATGCTCTTACTCCCATTTGACAGAAGAAATCTGAGTCCCCAGAGTTGAGTGAATTGCCTAAGATCTCATACTTAGTTTATTGTCAAGTCTCGATGCCTCCCAATGGGTCTAGTGCCCTTTTTACTGAATCCAGGTATATTCCCCATCAAGAATAGGCCCTTCTCATCACGGCTTCGTTTCATAGGTAAACCATGAAAGCTTGCTTTCATTGAAATGGTAGTGATTGTCCTAGAGGAAGAAATGGAATTTGTGAAATACTTGAATTTGACTCTCATTGTTAAGAGTAATTCTTGCACATAATTGAATTATTCTTTTTTTTCTTCATTAAGTTTTTTAAAGTTTATAGTCAGAATTTAGAATTTTACAATTCTGATATTTATTTTTATCTGCTAATCTTCAACATCATGTTCTATTCTTATACTTTCTTCTTTAGAGAAAACTCCAAAGAGAAGGACAAGACAGAAGGTACATCAGAAGAAACAGAAGAAAGGGAGCAAGCCACACCTCGGGGGCGAAAAACAGCCAACAGTCAAGGTCGCCGTAAAGGTCGAATCACCAGGTCCATGACAAATGAAGCTGCGCAGGCGAGTGCGGCTGCAGCTGCTGCTACTGAAGAGCCACCGACTCCACTGCCGCCGCCGCCCGAACCTGGTGAGTGGCATCCCAGGCACAGTGCTGGATCTTGTGGAATGGCACTGACCCTCCTGTGCTGTTCTGTCCATCACCAAAACTCGACAATATTCTTTGAATGCTTACTATTAGTTTGATCCAGTAAAACACATAAAGATGAATAATATTCAATCCCTTCGCTGTAGGAATTGGTCTTTTAGAAGGGGAAGTTAGACTGGTACATGAATAGATCTAGTACAAAGCAAAATGTGAAAAGTTAAATAAAATGAGATTTCACCAGAAGTGGGCTTACCTTTGTTTAGAGGTAGAAGGAAGAAATCAAGGAAGAGTTTACCTTGCCAAAATCACAAAAGAATATCCAGTCTTTGGGAACAGAGGGAGGGGGGAGAGGAATTCTCTTCTATATTGAAAAATTCTATCTTCTGCAGTCATTTTGTTATTATGGAAACAGTTTTTGTGGTCTGACGGTCTTTTGGTAGAATCAGAAGATACTGTCCTTGTGCTGAAGCAGACGTTCTTCAAAGCTGAGTTTTGTCTTATTTTATTACCTTGTATTTAAAGTAGTTTTACAATGAATTCCTTGTAGTTAGAGCTCATTTTAAGTAGGGCAAGGGTGTGTATATATTATTTGTACACATATGTGTTCTTTTTGTTGTTGTTGTTGTTAATTTATTTTGGTTTATCAACAATCACTTCCATAAGCTTTTGAGTTTTAAATTTTTCTCCCCCTCCCTCCCTGCCTCCCTCCCCAAAGACGGCATGCAATCTGATATAGGCTATACGTATACATTCCTATTAAACATAGTTTCACATTAGAGATGCTGTAAGGAAGAATTAAAGCCAATAAGAGGAACTTCCAGAAAGAGGAAACAAATCGCAACAGAAGAGAAAAAAAAATAGCAAATAGTATGCTTCAGTCTGCATTCAAACTCCATAGTTCTTTCTCTGGATGTGGATAGCATTTTCTATCATGAAGCCTTCGGAAATGTCTTAGATCCTTGCATTGCTGAGAAGGGCTAAGTCTGTCAATGTTAGTCATTGCACAGTGTGGTTGTTACCATGTACAACATTCTCCTGGTTCTGCTCACTTCACTCAGCATCAATCCATGCAAGTCTTTCCAGTTTTTTCTGAAGTCTGCCTGCTCGTCATTTCTTATAACACAGTAGTATTTCCTGACGCTCATATACCACAGCTTGTTCAACCATTCTCCAATTGATGGACATCCTCTCGGTTTCCAATTCTTTGCCACCACAGAAAGAGCTGCTATAAATATTTTTGTATATGTGGGTCCTTTTCTCATTTGTATGGTCTCTTTGGGATACAGCCCTAGAAGTGCTATTGTTGGGTCAAAGGGTATGAATATTTTTATAACCCTTTGGGCATAGTTCCAAATTGCTCTCCAAAATGGTTGAATCATTTCACAACTCCACCAACAATGCATTAGTGTTCCAGTTTTCTCACATCTTCTCCAACATTTGTCATTTTCCTGTTTTGTCATGTTGGCCAGTCTGATAGGACACATATTCTTAATACGTAATAAAATCTCTTTTCATAAGGAAAGACAAATTTTCATAAACTTTCAGGTATTAAGGCTTTTAATATCCAGAGTTAGATTTTGTGTTAGGTTTAACCATAACATCTGATCATCTTTTGAAATATTTTTTCAGCCTAAAGCTACTGCTTCCTTTTCAACTTTCTGTATTAGACTCCCTAGGTCTACAAAGTATTTTCGGTTATATATTAAGATATCTCAAGGGCAAATGGTACCTGTTTGTATGTTTGTATTTGTCTCCACCCTTAGAGATATGTAGGATCTGGGGCAGATCACATTGTGTGAATTTATACGGGATCTTTCTGTCCCCTGCCCCCTCCATGTTTTGATATAGGTGATTTTGCATACCATTTGACACTGTTTGGAGAATGAGTCTCTTTTTTCCCCTGGAGAGTAAATTAGAGAAAAAGGACCCTTAGGTTTCTTAGGCTACTAGGGACCTTGCAGCAGAAAGGAATGTGTGGAAGCCTGCATGTTGATTCCATTTCTAGTCCACCTGTGTCCTTATCTCTTTCCTGCTGTGACAGATTCTGGGTCTTAAGCTCACCTCCCTGGCTTCCTTTCAATCCCAACTAAAATCCCATCTTTTGCAGGAAGCCTTTCCCAACCCTTGCCTCTGTTAATTATTTCCTATTTATCCTGTATATGAGTTGCTTTGTGTATCTGCATGTTGTCTTCCATCTTAGATATCAGTTCTTTGAGATCAGGGGCTATCTTTTGCCTCTTTTGTATCTCTAGAGCTTGGCACAATTCCTGGCACAGAATAGGAGCCTAACAAATATTTGATTGAATGATTGATTGATCAGTCTATTCTAAGCTGATTAGCCCTGTGTCAGTTCATAGCTTCTTCTCATTTCCCAGGCCCTTTCCGGACTTGGCATTACAGTAAACTAACCCAGGACGGAGTTATTTTTCTTGCCTCAAGGGTGAATTCCCTAGTACCCGTATCAGGTTCAAGATCAAAGCTCCATCACAGTCACTGACCTGAATACAAGGAGGCACAAGCGTCCCTCACCGTACTCTCCTTTTCTTTTAAGTAGGGTGGCATAATACTGGGGGAAAGTCTTGGATTTGGAGTCTGAGGACCTGGGTTCAAATTTACCTCCACCACTCACTGGCTCTGTCACCTTGGACAAGTCACTTCCCTCTCTGGGCCTCATTTTCCCCGTCTAAAAATGAGGCAGATGGACTAAATGACCCCCTTTCAAGTCTAGATCTATGATCTCAATCCAATTAAGTATATTTAAATGTTTCCGTTGATCTGTGGGCCTGCCCACACTGAGGAGAGACCCACTTCCACCTCTGTGTCCTCCAGGCTGTCAGTCCGTAAGCCACTCCCTCCCTCCCTAGGGAAGGATGCCAAGGGCGGCTCCCTCCCTTGTTCTGGAGATCTTTATCTAGAGAGGCCAAAAAAGTATCTGTTTTGTTTGTTGTTATTCAGTCACCTCAGATGAGGAAACTGAGGCAAATGGGGCATCTGAGGCCAGGTTTGAGCTAGGAAAGAGGAGTCTTCTTGACTCTAGGCCTAGCGCTCTCTCCACGGCACCTCCTGGCTGCATATATCCGTATGTGTCTCAAACAAATTACTTTTATCGATTTATTTATTTAGAGGTTTTCAAACATTTCACATTTTACAGGTATTCATTGCAGTTCACTGTTCCAAACAAGCAGTGTTTTTGTTAAATATATTGATTCCTGAGTAAATGGGATTTAGGAGCACATTCATTATAAAAGATTTATCTTTGAATGTGAGTTAGTCTGTCTACCTCAGTAAGGTAATGTTGTTCCCATAGACATGACCTCTAATGATAACCTGAATGTTGTTATGGATACAGTTGCTCCACCCAGTTTCCACTTTCCATCCCAGCACTAGTAGCTGATGTATTGAAATAACAGAGATCAAGTTGTGCACGTTGCTCTGGTCAGCTTTTTGTTCATAGAAGGCAGTTGATAAATAGTTGATTATATCAATGAATAATGCCACTTCTTAGAATGGGACTTTTGTCTTATATTTTCCTTGTCTTTTAGAAAACAGTGGACTCTGAAAGTGTGTGTTGAAATTTTTCTCTTAAGGCTAAAAACTCCTAGAACTCTTATTTAAATTCAGTGTAAGCCATTGCTGAGATTTGCATGTGCTTTGCTTCTCCTTATATGCCACACAGGCTGTGGTTGAAGTTTAAAATGTGAAAGGAGAGCACTGCCCTTCTGACTGGTCTTGAAATGGTCCTGTGTCAGCCATTTTTCTTCCTGTAGTAGGAAAAACGATGGGAGCAGATTGGTGCAGTCAGTTTAATCACTCAGGCACAAGTGCCTTTATTTTCCTTTGTGGGGGAATCTAGTGCCGAGAGAGGAATCTTTTGTTAGTTTGGAGAGTGTCTGATTCATATGCTAGTCCGTTAGCTTGGAGGAATTTCTCAAAAACACATGCACAAAAATCAGCCTGTCTACTGAAACGGCAGGGACCAATCACCTGACGGAGTTTGGTCCATTTCATGTTAACTTGAATTCTCCAAACATAATTCTTCTGCATCCGTGGTAAGTATCATTCTTCATCCTTTTGGACATGAGGAAATTAAAGTATTTGTCCATGTGCTATGTTTCCCAGATATGCATAGTCAGGGGCATACTTGGGATTGAAATCCAGACTTCCTAAACAATAACCTAGAGAGTTATTTTTAGGCAAATTGAGGACAACCTGCATGACTTTTAAAACATATGAATTTCTCAAGTATTGTTATCTAAGGGTTAAATGATTTCTGCGAAAGAGAAATCCTTGTGATTTTAAGTTACTTGTCACTTGAATTCTTCATTGGAACTAAGAGGACATTGGTAGACTCTTTTTCCATTTTAAACTACTCAAAAAATCATTATAAATTAATAGTAATCAGTCACAAGCACATTTATTGAGTCCTTATTGTGTGTCTTGTGCTGTCCTACACAGAGCCCCGAGGAATGGATCTCTTCATAAAAGATATTCATGGAAACAATGCTCAGGTCAACAGGAGCAGTACGGGGTGCTGAAAGGGTGGAGAAGTAGACTTGGTTTGCATGGGAATCGTGAGCATTTGGAATGAGGCCACAGTGTAGAAATAGTAGGGATTCTTTTCTTTACTGATAGAGCCTGTGGTTATTATGCCTACAAAACGATAGAGGTCAGTGCTGTTATTCCAGACATTCCTTTTCTTTTCCAAATAAATTGTTATTGATACTCCTTGTTTTAACATCACCTGGATATCTCCCAGTACCCCTTCCCCTCTCAAGTTTAGAGAGGCATTCCAAATAGCGAAGAATATTTTAAATGAATGAAAAAGAGCAAGAGGAAAAAAAACCAACACTGATAAATAATTAAAAACAGTCTGAAAAATATATGCAATGTTGTACCCTCCTGTACCTTCCACCTCTGCAGAAGAGTTTGCAGAGCTGTCTTCTCACATCTTCTAGGCATTCTTAATTAATCCAAAGCCTTTA